TCAGTGTCATTGTGGATTTTGGTTCTTTTGCTGTTGTCGGCCGTAAGGACCTTTGAAATAACTGAAATCATTTGGCGAAGCTGAACTGTTACGCGGCCAAGACCTGCCTGGAACTACTTTAGACATGCGTTTCCCTGAAAAAAAAATAGCAGAACTTAATGTTTGTCAACGGATCAGATTCAATCATTCAACAGCCCTGTAGAATAATAATAATTCATATATTTTGTTTGACAGATTTAGTTTATAATATTTAAAAGTAATATTGCATATTTTTAGGCAGAATGTTTGAGCTAATAACAGTACTGTAAATCACATTATTTATGACAGTTGGTTCGTGTATCTTTGAAAAGCAGTGGCACTGAACTGTACTTCAAGGCATTATTTGGCAAATCCAACTACACTAAAGATACAACCATTTCCATTCAGAGAAAAAACTGAAAATGTCAACTCTACTAAAACCAGGTTAGCTCAACTGAAGATGAGTACAAGCACCAACCAGCTAAAACATCATCATACAACCAGCTCAAACCTCAAAGCTGTCAACCCATTCCCAGAAGCCAAGGGCCATATATTTTCATCTCTCTCAGGGCAATTTTCTACACAAACACAAATTAATGTTGAGCTCGGGCTGAGGGCTACAGACACATGTTTTCGCTTACTGGCCCGCCTCAACTTCCAGTGCTTTGGCCTTGAAACCTTTTAGTCAGAAACAAGAACAGTGAGTGTGTGAAAGATGCCTTCAAGCTCTGAAGTGTGTTGTGTTATCTGATTTTAGGGCCATAAATCTATTTGCAGCCCTTTTGACCAGTGATTTATATTTCAAGGGTCAAACAGGAAGAGTTAACACCTAAATCATGATGTCAAATATTACATACAGCTGGAACAAATTGTATATACATTTATCAATCATGTGACATAACCATGAAACACATTTGAGTTTAGTTCATTCGACATGCAATGCTGTTGGGAACCCATTTTATAAATAAATGTTGAAATTCAATTAGTGTAAAATTTGTCTTTTATCCATAAGTAAATAAGGAAGGAGGAGAAAACTATTTATTAATTAATTCATTCATTATTTGTCCATTTATTTATTTAGTTGGTTGGTTGGTTGGAACAGGGCAGTAGATAATTTACAGGAAGCAAAGTGGGAGACTTTTGGAGCCATGACCGAGTATTTGCTACATGGTGATCATATTGAGAAGAGAAGTTAGGATAGGGCTCACATTGCCTATACTGTTATATTCCGATCTTTTTCCCGCCACTTTGTTGCATCATTTCCTGTGCCCCTTCTCTGCTGTCAATAAAAATGGTGAAACACATCAGTGAAAAGTGAGCAGAGAGTTTAGAAGAAGGCCTTTTCAAGATCGGGCCTCAGACCTTGAGGGTTGTTTACGCACTTTTTGAATCCTAGCGAATTCAACTCTGGCAGCTTGCATCATTAAACGGCTCCAAGGGCTCTAATGTTCTCTCAGTTTAACCACCTAAGCTCTTCAATGAAACAGGGCGATAATGGTCTTTTCATCCTGGCAGTGGCGAACACTTTGAGCTTTATAATGTGGTAAGTTTGCAGGCTGATCCCTCAGGGGGTGCTAGCAGACAAACTGCATGGACAATCACTCACAGCTTTGATGCTTACGGTCCCGCTGCAAAGCAACACAGCAGGACACGAGTGGAGCAAAGTGCTGAGGAATAACAACACAGCTGAGGTGCTCCTTTGGATTTATAACGCTGGATGTGTACCCCCATCAACAGTCCATTACCAAAACCCAGAGTCTCCAATACTCGAAAGTTAACAAAGATATGAAACACATGGACAAATTTGGCGTACTCGCAGACTGTTCCTCAGAGAAAGTGAATAAAAAACTTTCTTCAAGTGAGGCTCCGAATGTCAACGGGGAATCTGGAATGGTGAGTTTTAATAAAAAATAAAAAAACTCCAGCTGACGAAGTCCAGTTTACAGAGACGTACGTGAGATTTCGGCATGGGTTCATGACCGAAGCAAGACACAGGTGAAAGTTATGTATTATGTCTGGTAGAAGCAGGAAGAAGGCTTAGAGTCTGACCGTAGATCTCAACTCATGGTACCCCAGTGGCCTGTTTACCTGCTTTGTGTGTCAGGACAGGTCATGGACAAGGCAATGGGGAGGGAGTCTGATCTTTTCAGAGCATTGGACAATTCAAACAGACTTAGGAATCTGCCACACTGATGTGCAATGTAGTGAGTGAGTGAGAGGGGTCAGGGTGTACAACATACCCTCCAGGCTGTAAGACAGACAGAGGTATGTTTACACCTGAGAGTGTTATGACCTTACTTGCCAAACCGAATCACATTCATTACACACGACAACAAACTGTTTCTCAATGTCTTTACTTTTTAAACTTCTCATAATGCTTATTTAAAGTGTGTTTACGCAATTAATGGAGGACACAACAACAACACATTCTTTCATACATTCCTAAGTTCCTCAATTCAAGTTCCGGATCGAAAGGCTGAATGGAAAGAAAAACAAATAAACAAAAAACAGGCCGTGGAGAATGTCTTGTCATTAACGCACGACTCCATTTGTGTACAAGCTAGTACACATGCGGAGTCGCAGACTCAACCTCACCCTCAAACAAACATGGGAGTGATTGTTCATTTCCTTCTCTTCCCATTACCTAACAGTGAAACGAGAGCAATTAGTGCCCTGTGAAGTCAGCCCGAAAATAGTCAGAGCCCATGCAGGATAAATAAACCCAGTGGACCTACCGCAGACTGCCTCATCTCCAGAACATCTTTAAATAGATCCAGAGCTGGAGGAGAAGACCCGAATGCTTCTACTCAGCGCACCGTGAAGAACAAACTCCTTGTGGGACCCCCACAAATATTGTGTAGGATTGCAGAGATGTAGACCTTGGTCACATCATCAACTACTGATTGTACTATCAACAATGTAGGAGACTGCCTTCCCTTCTGGCTCATTAAATAATCCATCTTTAAAATTAAGACGTGGCATTTCTCCTTCTCTTTTTTTCTGTAGAAAAGAAGGAATGAAATAAAGTGGTTCACCTAAACTCCTAGTATTTTTGCAATGTACGCATCCACATACTGTACAATTTCAGAAGATTCTCAAACTATGCACAGATAATTTTGCCATAAGTACGCCATTTCAATATACTCAAACATTCTGATGGTAATGTTTCAGGTGACTTTAAAAAATGGCCTCATTGTCTCTTAGGAAGAATATCTGTGACAAAGTTTATCCTTAAGTGAGAATTCTCCTGAACAATGGAAGAGCAACCTCTGAGAAATAGATTTATCGTGTGGGTTCTGTTGAGGGAATATCTATCGAATGAGTTGTTAATTGTGGGTTCTGTCCTTTTCAGTGGCAGAGGTTCATAAATCAGCCCCTGGGCAAACTTGACAATCCATCGTAGACCTCTGTAGGGGTCTGTGTGGGGGTCTCTTAACCTGTGGTTAAGTCCTTCGCCACATTTCACCATCGGCTCTTTGGATCTGACAGAAGCTATAAACTTTGCTTTTGAGGTGACAAGTTCTCACCCCCTCAACACCACTGGAAACCTTAAGGGAGGACAAAGGCTGGGAAAGAAGAGACCCAGAATACTGATAGTTAAGTGGAAGTGGTTGATACAGGAGCTCAGATTTCAGATTCATGATCTTAACCATAGAGGAGAAACTTCCCATCTAGAGATGCTTTGGATCCACACATGGGAGAAGCCGTCCACTCAAAAAAGGGGCAAATTAAACCTTCTGAGTTTCCAAATAGATTACTTTACATGCATACAGCTTACAGCTTACACAGTCCCCCCCTAATGCTTTTTTAATGAGTTTGCTTACATTTGCTGCATTGAGAATATACAACTCATCCCAGATTGCAATATGTGGACCAGGAAGGATCTCTATAGCCAGACTCAAATCAGGAATTTTAAACTGAGATGTTTCCTTATCTGAGCTATTTAGGGCCGTGCCTTGCATCAGGAAAGATTACCGGCTGAATCCTGGTTACTATCTATGTATCAGGCTTATATGAGAAGGTTTCCTCGCTAAATTAGGAAAGGGGAATCAATTGACCTGCTCCCCCCTTCCCACACAGTGTCTGGAAACATTTTGTAATGAGACAACAATGCAAGTTGGAATTAGACTTTTTATGCTTTTTGGAGCGACCCAAGTTAGGACATTTCTAAAGGACGAGTAGTAAAATATGATCAAACGCTTGCTCAAAAGGGAGCCATGAGGTGTGGATGACGTGCCAGAGTAGCATCACTTCTATTATCTATTAGTTCCCCAAGCAGCCAAGTACACTCATACCTCACAGGCACGTGTTGAAATGCAGGTGGCGTCCTTAAACTACGAGAAATCTACACTTCAGCAACCTCGTAAATAAGACCTTTGAACATCACAACTTTGTTTGATGCTATGTTGGGTTGTGCCCAAGAAAACCAAGCTTGCATTTTAAGAGTAACTGGGGAAAAAAATGACTGAAATCAAAGTTATTTTTTGTAATAAAGTAAACTTAAAATTACAGCTCAGAATTCTTACCCAAATCGATGGAAGAGGTCTGCTTGGATGTGTGCCAAAAAGTTCTAGTTGAAGGTCGTGTCTCCAAACTGACCAACCAGTAAAGCTGATAAATGAATGTGATCAGTTTTCCAATAATGCCATTGAGAAACTCTATTCCAGCCAAGAACCCTGCGGTCTATGCAGGTACAATCCTTTTTAACTAAAACCACTGCATGTTCTCACTTGCCAAACTGCTGGCGAACATCAAAGGTATAGGCGAAAAGGCATTACAGATGATTTGCCACTTTGAATGTGGACAGTTGTTCTGCTTTGAGACTTAAGAAAAGCAAAAGCATTCCCAGCATATCTGATAAAAAAAATAAATGAAAAGAATACGAGCTGATGTAGAGGTCACCATCTGAAATTTATGTTTCAATGTCTTCCACTGGCTTTGACATGCAGATTAGGTTTCCCAACTCATGCACAGCAGGGAAACAAAAGCAAATGTCAATGAAAAAAAAGCTTTGAACAATCTTTATCTGTAATGTCTCGCAAAGTCCAGCTTGTGCATCTTTTTTGGAGGTTGCGATCAGGGGCGGGGAGCTCAGGGACAGGGTGAACTCCAGCCAGTGAAGAGGATAGACAGAGAGGGCGTTTCCTCCGCCCGACCTGCAGCTGCCTCAGCTGCTCGCCACTGGGGACAACAGGAAATTTATTGCAATAATCATCTCTCTAGGCAACACATTAAATTGCGCACTTCTGCTTTGAAAAGGTTCTCTTTGATACTTGATTAGAGAGTGAAGTTTTCAGGAGGTGGCAAATAGTCTTAACATGTAGAGAGATGTTGGATGTTTTGCCTCTTTTGGTGTTAATGTGGTTGATTGATTATTTTACTATATATGAAGGTAGTAATTGTTTAGTTTGCATATTTGAGAGGCAGTGTTGTAGTACTCGAGACTCGGACTCGTCTCGGACTCGGTCTCGAGACCATATTTTAATGGTCTTGGTCTTGTCATGGACTCGTGTCCATTTGGACTTGGAATTGACTCGTACTCGAACATTTTTTTTTTTAAGGACTCGGAATTATTCCCGAGTCCACTCGAGTTCAATTCAAAATATTTTTCATGATTATTAATGTATGTTAATAAAATATTTCTTTAAATTGATTGACACGCCCAGTGATTGGTGATTTTCTAGTGCGCAACTGCGCATGACAAATTGTAATAAAATTACTTTTAACACCACCTACTATGTGGCCTTTTTACCCAAAACTGATCATATTTTTTAAACTCTGAGTAAATTCAGTAAAAAAAAAAAAAAAGGATTTCTCTAAGTAAATAAAAGTAAATTAGGTAATCAACCCTCACTGGTCTCGGTCTCGACTCGGACTCGACCGTCTCTGGTCTCGGACTCGACTCGGACTCGACTCTCTATGGACTCGGTCTTGACTCGGACTCGACTCTCTATGGACTCGGTCTTGACTCGGACTCGACTCTCTATGGACTCGGTCTTGACTCGGACTCGACTCTGTCTCTCAACACTGTTGAGAGGCGATCACTTTTTTAAGAAACCATTTTACGAGTAAGTACCCATAGATTGGCTCTTACGTGTATGTCAGCATCATGATTCCTTTAGATTCGACCTCCATCTCTCTGTATCTCTCCCAGAAGCTGGTCGGAGTGGTTTAGTGTAAACTTGTATGTCAAAATAAAGAATTCTTGTTTGTAAAAGACTACAGATTCGGCCTTGTAATGATTTATCGGGCGTTCCAGATGAATGGCGAGTGGAACATGTTGAATGCATCATAAAAATGAAAACATGTGTGATTTACTAAACTCTCTTCGCAGCACAAATGTCATATGTAGACTGAAATGAGTTCTGGACTATATCTGAAACGTGACTTTATGAACATCAGGCTTGAGATATTCTGAAGTCCAGGATAGAATTGCACGCAAATTTTGATATTATGATTAAATAGAATGTCCATTACCGGCACTACACACATAAATGATGCAAAGATGCTGCATGTGTCCTAGTGATGTATGTCTCGAGACCGGTCTTGGTCTTTTACGTGGTCTCGGTCTTGTCACGGCCTTGACGGTCTTTGGTCTTGGTCTCGGACCTCTCGGTCTCGTCTATGTCTCGCTGTCTCAGACCGACATAGTGGTCGGGGGATTTAGCAAGACAATGCTACAATATTCACGCCGATATCCGCAACGGATTGAAGCGCGTATCCGAGTGAAGGCAGTGCGGTGTGCGCGAGCCACACGAGAAAACACTGATCGCAGCGGCAACAAGCACTTTAATCACTTGATTTAAAAAACACATATCATGTACAGTTTTTGATGTATTAATATTTATTAAAACACATATCGGTGACATGATGGGTTTTAACTTCGTTCAGGAGATTTTGGGTAACTGCATAACAGATGACCATAGCGACTAACTAACTAACCATAGCGACAAACCAACTGACTTTCAGATCCTGCGCTTAAGCTTATATTTTCGTTTTTAAAAATATTTATGTATTTAAAAGTTGCAAAACAAAATCTTACAAGTTATTGCTTAGCTTCAACAACACTAGTCTGTTTTTTGGTCTCGACTTGTTCTGGCTTGGTCTTGGTCTTGATTTAGGCAGTCTTGACTACAAGTCTAATGTGTTCCTATAGCGCACCTATCCAGTCATGGCATTAATGTGGGTTGAATTGACCCTTCGCTAAGCCCCGCCCTCCCTAGTTACTGTTGCTACGCATGTCAAGCTTTCATGCCTGGCACGTCTATTTCAGTGTGTATGCACCGGTGTCACACATTCCCAAGGAGATATTACTCATTTTTGGTGAACATGTGAAATATCTGAGAGAGCCAGACTAAAGGGACTAGAATAATTTATAGAATAACTTCATAAAAATTGAAGCTAAAGCCTATCATCCCAGCGCAAGCAGCCGCCGCCTCAACTGGGAAACACAAATTGAGGAACAGCTGTGTTCGTGCACAGTAGGGTAAGTGATTGTGAAAATAATCTAATATTTATAAATCAAACTGCTTCTCCATAAATCTTGTGGAATAACACTAGCACCTGGAGAGCCGCGATCGGATTAAATTAAAGTTACTCAGTCAGGAGTTGGCCGCGACGAAAAAATGTGTCAGTGAGCCTCCATCTTCTTTAATCGTTTTATTCTACGTTAAAATATATGCATTTTGAACAAAGAACCGTCATTATTTCCAAGCAAGGTGTTTTTGTTGCGAATGGGGTCTCCCACTGCTTGATCCATGCCCATCATTTCTCCCTTTGCCTTTAAGATTTTCGGGAAGGAAAAAAAATCCACTCCCCCATCCAAACTTTGAGGATACCGGGTGTCATTTTTTGCACAATTCATACAAACAACGCTTTGCCATTTTTCCCTCATTCGAAAGAACCAGACTTCCCGTGCCTAGTTATGGTTGCTAAACCATGATTGGCCAGTGGCGGTTTTCGGGCGTGGTTTAGTGAAGGGTCAATTCGGCTTATAGTTCCACCCTCCATGTGTAAAAGATCATACGCATTTACAAACATATCTCAATCAGTGACATTGACATTCCCAGTGAGATTCTAGAGCAGGGGTGGGCAACTCTGAACTCTGAGGTCCACCGTCCAATTCAATTCAATTCAATTCCAAAAACTGTATTTATCCCCATAGGGCAATTCAGTTTTAGCCTACCAGTCGTTTTAAACAAGGCAATAAAACAACTGTCAATCAAGCATCCAGAAACACTGTCAATGGCATCCTATTGCATTTGGGCACCATAGTGAATACACCGATCTTAATACGTGAACTAAGCAGGGACCCAAGTTCAAGAAGATAAATACAGAAATATATAATAATAAGTTAATAAATACATACAAGGTTTATGATTCCTGGCACATGATTAGTTGCCAGTGTTAGCAGTATTTAAAAGCCCGATGACAGAAGGAATAAAATAATTAGCATATCTGTTAGTCCTGCAGAATTTAGCTTCAACCCAACCCAAACACACCAGATCAAACTAATCAAGGTCTTTAGGACTACCAGACAGTAACAGGTAGGTGAGTTTGATCTGGGTTGGACCTAAACCCTACAGGACAGTGGACTCAAGGGCCCTATTCTGGAGACTAAGGCCCCGTGCACACTACTGCGCTTTCGCTTAAAAACGGGGACCTTTTGCCATGTTTGCGCCTCCCGTCCAGACTAAAATGGGAAAAATGAAGACCCGGAGAAGTTTAGAAACGCTGCAGCTCAGTTTTGCGTTTTGAATCTCCGAAAGGCTTTTTAGTGAAGACGGGACAAAACGGAGGAGTTTAGAAACGATGACGCAGAGGCTGACGCTCGGCTCTATGATTGGGTGTCATCAGTTATGACGTGTCCTTCCCTAATTCGTCAGCCACCGTTTACACCGGCACGCACATGCCCAGTGTTGGTGAATGGTCACGTGATCCGTGTTTTCAGTCGTTTTAATGTAGACGGAGATCAATTCTAATACGCAGATAAAACGCTGGTGTGGACGGAGATCGTTTTCGTTTTAATTCTCGGTTTTTAAACGAAAACGCAGTAGTGTGGACGGGGCCTAAATGGACTACAGTGAATTTTGCTGTGCGAAAAGACCTGCAGGATATCAGTTTCAAGACTTCTCAGAAAGTTATGACATGGACCAGCATGTTCTGAGGCATTTGAGGCCTAATTGAGCTGAACGAAATAGAGAATGATGCTAAGTTATGTAAAACTATACATTTTGTGGCAAGAAGCTTTATCTCAGTTAACTGTCACTTGCCATATACGGGCAATCTAAATTTACTTCACTATATACTATTAAGTCCAAATCTAGTCATGACAAACTTTATATCGTTGGAAAGGTCTAAGACTCCTAAAAAGATATTTTAGCGCTGTTTCTTTCTTACAAATTATGAATGAACAACAGTAATATATGAATTTATGACAAGAGCGCGCCTCAAAAAAAATCAACGTCATTACAGTCACAAAAAGTCGACGCACACACTTTTATTAATTGAAACTTTGGTTTTTAGTGCTAAAAGTTCATAATACAACATAATTAGTATTTGTCAATAAAAAAAAGATAAAATTGTATTTTAAAAAGTAAGGTAAGAAGTCCTCTAAAAAGTATAATATATTACATATATAAATATTTAAAAAATAAATATTTTATTATTATTATATCACATATTTTAGTAGTTATCATAAATTAGGTATCATTTGAAAGCTTACAAACTCAGAATTCATCCTGTGAAACCCGTTTTGAAATTGGACGTTGCATTACCATAGAAACGGTATTTGTTATTAGGCCCCTCCCCTTTTGGGCATTATCTTTCATAATTTATTATCAAAACCTTTTCTAATCTTGTCAAAACACATATTGTCAGAAAAGTCTGAGTCTCAAGGTTCCATATTTAGTGACAGAAGTGACATTTGGATAGAAACAAAATCTAACAAAACCTAAACAAAATCTCATGGGAACTTCAAAATTTGTGATATCAACTTTAAATTTGGAACACAACTTAGATATATAGCTTTCATTTTATAGTAATTTTTCTAGTAAAAAATAATAAATTCTATTTGATTTACTGTAAATTTTAACTTCCATAACTTTTTCATACTTTAATTTTTTTGAAGTGCTTTCACTTCAGTAATAATCTTCTGATTGTTTTCTTTGAAACAAGACCAA